ATTATCGACCAAGTCCTTTCTGAAATACATTCATAACCTAAAAATTACTAAGCATTTAAATCAGTTGGTATCGTAAATTACCAAGATTCAACCAGAATCACTAATAAAAACAAAGTTCATGGTACTTACAATTTACAATTCTGCAACTCCAAAGATTTCAGATGGTATCTAATATAATCTTTGTCATAATCGAGAGAGAGAGATCGAGAATCTTGATAGTCCTGTTAGTCCTGAGACAGATAGGTTTAAAAATGTAGATGCTCACAAAAGCGAACACTGACGTTCTCTCGAATACTGATTGTCAAGCTAGGGATATAAGTGAGCTGGCTGTATTCCAAGTCATAAAGTTTCTTTTCTATAATTTGGGATCTAAAGGGGAGGCCACCCTAGTCTAGACAGTCGACCTCCATCGTCCTTTATATCGATCGAACTAATTTATTAATGGGTCTTTTTAAGAATAATGGCATATGTAAACAAGCTAGAACGTTTGTTTTACTGTATAGTGATGTTTTTAACTTGGGACGTGTTACCTACGTAACTAAACTTACACTCATACCCATAGACACCTGCAATCCAATAGTCACAAGTACGTTGCAGCCTCAAGTCGCCTCCCCCACCCCTCCTGACTTTTTAGGCTCCAGGAACCTCAGTAACTAGGTGAAAAAGAACACCTTTTTTGACTGGAATAAATGGACCGTTTCTTAAGTTTACGTCGGTTCTATTTTGACACATCGCCCAAATTCGGCTTTTGCCTATAGGGATTTTACACGCAGAAAAAAATGCAGTCGTACAATGAATGCACAAATTGCGTAAGTAAACTAGTGCCGTAAACTATTATCGCTTTAAATTCAACGACAGACTATATTAGATAAGGTTATTACGTTTATCAATGGGCGTTCATATGTACATTCAAATAAAGATTATTTGGTTAAGGTACTTTTCGGATATACTCGTAATTTATCTTATCAATAACACTGATATAACTAGTCATACCAGTTGTAGAATGGAACCCCTGTGCGTGGCCGTGGTCAAGCGCAAGGTTAGTTATTATTAATTTTTAAATAAATATCATTCTTTCTTTAATGTCATATCCCCCTGGGATGGGGCAGAGGTCGTCCACAGGAAGTCTCCATCGCAATCGGTTCCAAAAGTCGTGCCTAATTTCGCTCCAACATCTCGCCGGTATTCCTCGCCTCATCACCGTCGCCAAGTTTACCATAGACGATCACACTTCCCCTTTCCCCATTCCACTATAGAGCCTGCTTGGGGATGTGATCGGCGTCCCTTCCATGAGTATGTCCATGGGCGGCTATAATCACTTACCGTAAGGCGCTAAAACCCTTCTGGTCCCACCTATTCTATAAAAAATATGCTTAGAATATTCTCTGTATATTTATTTTAAGATCATGTTGTGAAGACACTGAGTTGAGTAACTAACTAAGCCTTTGACAGTGTCATGATAGCTCTCGAACCCTATTAACTTAAAAGCCACTTATACAAAAAACGCTAACGAAGGCAGTAATTATCTTTTTATGTCACTATAGATTCGATGTGTAGATAAAGCGAAACTATAACACGACCGCACCCTTAACAATGACGTATCTGCCACAGGGCTCATCGCTGGGACCACTTTTTAATTACAGAAACTAACATAGCTTTAATATAGCTTTGAAAATATATTTTATTTAACAAATCTAAGAATCGAATAGTTTTATGTAGTTTATAATAAATAATAATATTTGTAAAATCATTAACATTAAAAAAAATGGTATCTATAGATAGGACCCTAATAATAATGTGTCACACGCAACATGATATGAAAACAAAAATAATCGTTAAAGACAGTTAATCAACAGTCGCCCTTAACAGTCCGCTGCTTTACATATGCCTCTCCTTAGAAAGAAAGTTTTGGCCTACTATACCACGTTGGCCAGACGGGTTGTGTTTTTCAGATAGTATTTAAACGTATCCTACCTTAAAAGAATAATTGCCTTCCAGTTCCATTTCATTTCTGGATGGTGTTTATTTATTTTATTTATTTATTTATTTATTAGGGTTAACAACAGTCCTTAAAAATAAATATTACAATTTAAATTTCTACAATCAGGTGAAACCAATTAATGTTAACCACGTATGCAATTTTGATTTTAATATAAATTGCCCAGACTTTGTCACAGCAAAAATGTAAAAAAATAAAAGTTGAAGCCAAAACATAAAATGTTAAAACTAATAAATGGAACTAATAAATTACAACTAAAAGAACAGTGAGATAATATTCTAGGCAAGCAGATCATAATACAGTATTACTCTGTGAAGTCAACTCAGCTGCTTATTATTTAATGTGAAAACTATCTACTTTCAAAACTGTCAAAACAAATCTGATGGGGATTAGTGTCGTAAGACCTAACTATTGAAATGATTTTTACATTGTTAAGAATAAATACTTAATGAATTTTTGGTTTATCAAATAAAGATAATATGAAACTTGAAAATAGTAACAAACATAGTTTTGCCAGTGATATATCATATTTGATATCATGAGGACTGTTAAACTAATTACTTGAATCATAACAAACAAGCGTAATGTGCTCCACTGCATATTTCATTGTGAAATATTAAGATAATGCGAGTCACTTAATATTTTCTGCTACTGAATATTTGTCACTCATTTGAGCTACCAAGTTACAACAAAGTTTTCGTTACCACCTTCTGTAACACTAAGTAGTTTAATATTACGAAGGATAAAACCTCCTTTCTAAGGAGAGGCCTATGTCCAGCAGTGGACTATTAAAGGCTGTTGATGATGATGATAAAATGTGATTTATAAAGTTCTTTATCAACCAATGATAGTTTAATTTTCGAACATATAATTTTTACAAAATAAAGTAAGGACTTTTGCACAGCAAAACTTCCATCGCTTAGCTTTTAATATGCCATGAGCTAACACAACAATTCTCTGTGGGTTTCCGGCACTCACACGAACATGTTTGTCCTTATAGCTCCATACATACCACTAACTGTTATCAGTCGTAAGCCAGCAGTCAATAATTTCAGTAATACACGAGTGGACAATGGAAATGTGCTATAAATTTATTTATGCTTTTTCTTATTGTGATATGTGCTAAAGTGATTTGAAGATTCCGTTTTCTATTATTTAAATGAACAACAATGGATTAACTTAATATAAACTGCAAATCAATAAGTTTTATAAAATTCCATAGTGTCAAATAAATTATAACGCGTTATTAATTGCAAACAATGTTTCGGAATCAGGAATAAATACGAAATTTAGAAATTAATGTGTAAATCAATTTGTGCTTAAATGAAATTGGATATATCCATTTAAGACCTTGGAAAGACATAAATATAGGCGGTAAGAAATGAAGAAACATAAAGAATCTCACTTTCTATATGGAAATACTTTCGGCGAAAATATAATCGTTTGATTTTGAAAATTAATATTTTTTGGTCAATTTAAACCTAGTTAACCTTAAGTTTAGAAAAGTGTTTGTACTCTTTGTCACCATAAATCAATAGTTATTTTCTATCAAGGCCTCTGTCACATGGGATTTACGTGTTTCTTACTGTAACTGATTGTTTGTTGAAATTGTTTATTCATTTAATTGTTCTATTAATAGATCATATTGGTTGTGAATTTCCTTTTTGCGGTATACTTGTCATAATAATTTGCAATATTACGTACAGCATAAATATATGTTATTTGTTTTTTAATATGAATTCTATTGTTCAACTTCAAGTAATGCGTTTATTTTAGATAACCTACGAGATCCTAGTTAATTCGATTACGGTATAACTATTCTACATTACGTCGTCTATTTATTTTTACGTGACTCCTGAGGTGCAGGTGTTCGTGGGCGGCGGTAGGCGCTTTCTATAAGGTCAGCCGTCTGCTAGTTTGCCCCCTCTTCCATAAAAAAATCCTCAGGACTGTTTAAACGTAAAAGATATACACAGAAATGGTATGGTCAAGGTTTATCAACAGCCCCTAACAGTCCACTGCTGGACATAGGCCTCTCCTTAATGTTCAGTTTAATGGGTACCTTTTAGAAGTAGAAATAAAATGTTTTGAAACTCGAGAAAAGATAAAATTTACGTAGATTACGTTACTTGCATCATAGAATAACAGAGGTAATTTTACTGACATGTTTTTAAAAATCGTATAGATACACTAGTGTGTGGTATAAATGTAACACAAGTACGTAACGTAACGTAACATAAGTACTTAATTAGAGAACAGAGATCTATGCACGATTTTAAGAAACTCTGCCCCTTATACAAGGTAGAACCTGAATCATAAAAGAGAAGACAGTATTCAGCCATACATTTATCAGACTGTGAGTATAGAGGAATGGATCAGGATGATGATCAGGCTGTCCTGTAAGTGCATAGCGGTCTCGTTTTGTACTCAGTTTAACCGAGGTTTCGCTCGCCGTAATCTTTATCAATAAATTTTTCCTTTGTTAAAAGATTTTGTCCTATTCCAGATCTATCTCTGTACCAAAGTTCATCATATTGCTCAGCCGTTCTGGCGTGATTGAGTTACAAACATCCATTTATCCATCCATTATACATTTTGTATAAATTAAGTCTACTACGATGCGGCTCAACTTCGATGTTTTTTACGCGGAGCGACCGCCATAAGACTTCCATAACCCAAGTACGAGTCGATATCGCAGTTCTCTAGAAAGACCGTTGTTGGACTTTTTAGCACCGTTATTAGTTTCCCAACTACCCGTTACGATTGCCACAGATGTTCGTGTTTCCCTCGATACCATACTCGACATATATGTTTCTTATCAAAATAGGTACTTATGACTGATATTGAACCATTGTTTGCACAAACCACAAAGCGCGGCTTAATTATCCTTTTAATATCGGCCTTGTAACAGAACACTGGAAACCTAGTTTAATGTAGTGATCAATTCAAACAAATCAGTTGCTTCCTACATACCAGTAAATGAACACGCAAAAGCAACAAAATGGTAGAAGTCGTTGAGCAAGCTTTCTTTAAATGGAAAAAAGAAGACGTTGGTTATTTGAAGACGTATTATAAACCGAGTGCTTTGGAGAATGCCGCAACAACGTGGAAAAAGAAGTCAGTATCAATCGTGTCCCCAAAATCAGGCAGAATATTAAAACAAAATAAAGATACAGAGAACAGTCCTGAAAAAACTGAGCAGAATGGGAAAGTCGTTAAAGACAACGGTTTCTTTTCTAGAATATTCGATGATTTCAAAAAGGCTAAAGTTTCAGACTACACTTACCAAAAGCCAAAAGTTCGAGAACATAGCTCGTATAAACCTTTTTGGGCTACCAAAACGGTGGAAACAAAGACTGAGAAAATTGAAGATGATATAGCCAAAGCTACCTGCACTGTCCAGAATAATGCAGTTGCGAATAAAAAGCTTATATTTGTGAAGGAAGCTATAGGATCTCCGAAAGTGACGTTGACGGATAAACCAAGGTCGTGTAACCCGAAGAAGACTGTCTCTGCCGTAGAATACCATAAGGAGTACAGGATAAAGATGCCTCCAAATTACTGTGGTAGTCAAATGCGTATGCCGACAGGCGAACAACTGTTTTGGGTTTGTTTTTACTATTATATCTTAGTGTTCGTATTTATAAAAGATATACGGTTTTTTCTCACGTTTACTTTGAGGACCGACAAGTTTATCCGACCCGATGTGGTGACCCGAACCTTAACAAGGGTTGCAGAAATTTCCTCGTCAGTGTGCGCAAAAAATTGACACGGAAAGTCGTTCACCCCTTGTAAAGAATCCCCGAAATAAATACTAGTAATACATATTTTTATAAATTTTATATATTACTCACGAAAGGTTCATTTTAAATTAATAAAAACGGAACATTAAAAAATAAGCATAACTGGTTACAAAGGTCACACATTACTAGTGTTCTTGTTAAATATCATGAATTAGTTTTAAAACACCGAAGTTATAAAGGACATACCTTCGAGATTTCGCTTTATCATATACATTTTAGTTCCTTTACTTTAATTTATTCTACCTTTAACTTTATTGTAAATTAAATAGTCTCATTAGATTATTATAATTCAGGTTTAGAATCACTGAAGAGATTAATATGTCTTGATATATTCAAATGTTACCTATGTGATTATTCACATAAGAAGTCGTCAATCATGAGAATTATAATATTCTACTGAAATATTTACGACCAAAGAAAGCGTAGCTATTAATACAGTTCAGTATACATACATACGTCTTACACTCACGTCATATCCCCGAAGGGGTAGGTAGAAAAGGGCATTAGTGTACATATTGTAGAATCTAACACCTAGATCTACTATCAGGGTGCAGGTACCTAGCTTAATTATCTTTTTTACATCAACGCAATAAAAATACGCACATTTCTCTTATACAAAGAACCAATTGGTCTTTTTCTCACATTAGAAAAATCTTAAAAGAGAAGTGTTACTCTTCAGTCCCATTTCTTACTTTGTATAATGCTAAGTTAACACGCTTGCCGAGGCTTGGCAAATGTCTACAAGCTCAAAGCCTTTTTTTTTGGTGACGTGGTGGAAAATCCCTTTGTATCTCCGGCCCCTTGGAGATATAGCAGCCAGGAGTATGTGGTGTTTCCACATTAAAAGCCACCCCGACGGCCAGCCTTAGGCGCCCTGTTCTGGGGAGAACCCGGGCCATGTGATTTCAGATCCCCCCAGATCGATGCCGCACCTAACTAGGCCCTATCTCGGGGGAAGTCAGTGGCTTCTCCTTGCCTATCAGCCTACAAGCTCCAAGCCTACACCAAACACTCGCCAACATGTAAATACGTCGCAAGCGCTTGCCGCAAGCTTCTTTTGATCTGTGTTCAAAAACAACCGACACTAGCCCGGATCGGCTACAATCTCACGCAAGCCAATATACATGCCAAGCGTGTAAACTTAGCATAATAAATAGTATGTTTTCTTTTCTCTAGAGATGACCTAGATCAGAGAGGGGATATACGGTTGAATAAGTACGACCCTATCAAACTGATTTACTAGAAACAATATCTTATGACACAATGGTGCTATATATTTCTATGTTTGGCATGAAATCGAATTAAGTTCTTCAAAGGAACATTGCCAAGTAGGACATAATTTTAGGTTAAGTTACTGTTTTCGTAAATATCATGATTGAGAACTCTTATTTTAAGAGAGATAAAGACCACATGCAAAAAGTTTATAATAAAGAATAGAATTATTCAACACCGTTTAAATGGAGAAATCCTACATGACTTTGAATCTTATGGTTCATTTGATATTCTGTGGATATATATATATATATATATATATATATATATATATATAGATGTTCTTAAATATATAAATGGTTTGTGTACCCTTCAAAAACCCAAAAAGTTCTGCACCGATTGAGCTCAAATTTTGACATGATATACAAACTGCTTCAAATATTGTTGGGCAGGGTACAGCTACCTATAAAATAATAATTTAGTGGATGTCTAAAAGTATTCGGTAATAGTGGACTAAATTTAACTTTAAATCTAAACGATTTTTTGAGTTAAGAGCGTCTTTTAATAAAATCTCAATATTTTGTAGACAGTTAAATTCATAGAGATTACACTATGAATGTGTTTAGATTACTCTATGACTCAGAGATTACCCTATGAATGTGATTCGAACAGACACAGAATCGATAATATAAAAACTTTAATCGATTTGTAAAAGACCCCTGGAACCTTTTATTCTTGATTTTTTAATCCATGTAGGCAGTTTGTTCTACTCCGCTATTACTTAAGAATCTCTTTTTTAAGTTGTTATCCCTATCCTCCTCTTCTTGTTATTTCTCATTCCTTTATTAGGCGTTGTTTACATTAATGAAAAGGACAGCAATAAATAACTATGAAAGGTGTCTCTTACATGTTTTACGTTGATCCATATTTCACCGATATCAAATAACTTTGTTTTAAAATAAGAATTGGGCTTTCAATTATGCCTTAGTACTTACAGGCAGAGGTGATGAAAGGTGTATGAAATTTACAACCAGCCATATATGACTTTTCCAGATTCCGATTCTCGAAAATGAAAGTAAAGGACCATTCTTTATCAAAATATTAAAGAGTATATTTTTATCCACAGCTAGGGGAGACCCGTCCTTCGTCGTTTGGTCCTGCCACTTACCAAGACTTCAAGGAGATCCGGTCTCGATGCTTAGCCGAAGGCAGGTTGTTCGAAGATCCGGAGTTTCCGCCTATTGACCGTAGTCTCTACTACAAGGAGAGATTGGATAGGCCCATCACTTGGTTGAGACCCGGGGTAAGTTCATACTATTCGAACTTCATGTATATTTATTAGTATTTTTTTAATACTAGTAGTATTATACGAAAGTGAAAAAAGAGAAGTACAGCATAGATAGTAGACTTACTAGTCTACTTACTAGACTACTAGACTTACTAGACTAGTCACTAATGAACAAAGTTTCGTACTCTATACTAATATTATAAAGCTAACGAGTTTGTTTGTTTGTTTGGTTCATTATCATCATCTGTTGATGATGCTTTCCTTTCATAGTCCACTGCTGGACATAGGCCTACAGCCAGGAGGTTTTGGCTTACTATATGTTATGGTTATGTTGTTTGGTTAAACCCGCTAAATCACAGGAACTACTTACTGGTTCAAATTGAAACATTATTTTAGTGTATAAGTTCTCACTATGACCATTAGGAGCCGACCATCAAAGAAACGTGTTGCAAAAATGGGTCAATTTTATTCCTTGCGAGAGACTCAGATAAAGTTACGTAGCCACTACTGAATGATCCCATAGATATCCCTTAGATATTTATTCCATTATTAGATAATGATGTACCAGTTTACACGATCTCTGAGAGAAATATTAATTTGGTTATTGTGACCTCAAAAGTGGAAGTTGCACCGTGCGCTATATTAAATCGAGAAAAACAATAAATCAGAGTATGTCTATTCTGACGAGGAAACAGTACTTTCCTGAATACCACGGCAAATTACACCTACGTAAGGAGCAACACCAACTGATGGTAATTAATAACAATCACTTGCAGGAAATATGCAGCGACCCTCAACTCTTCGTGGAGGGTTACAGCAGGTTCGACGTGCTGCAAGGAGAGCTCGGCGACTGCTGGCTACTCGCTGCGGTAGCCAATCTTACGCTGCACAGAAAGTAAGTGAAAGTCTCATAAACAACATAAATCCGAGATTTGTAATTTTTTTCTGATAGTTAATAAAACGCTTGCTATCTTCTTATTGTTTGATATTTTATTACGTTTCAAATAAATACAGGGTTTGAATAACAATAATAACAACTTCGAGAGTAACGTCAAAAGGAATCCTTGATAGAATATACATTCGTACATACTCATACAATGATACTAAAATAAATGGCAAATGAAATTAGTTATACATATATTATGTACATATGTACTATAATATTAAGTTTATTTCGTTCTTTTCTTATAGACTAGTTACCAAAACTGAGTTTCTGAGGTTTCTTTTCATTATTTTGTAGACGTATTAATTAATGGGAATATCGATGTCAATTTACCATAAGTACACAAATAGATAACATCAATGTTATTTCTACGTGTGTTAATATTAGTCGAATAATAAATAAATTAAAACACTAGAAAACAAATACAGTATGAGTCTTTGAACCGATGTCCTAATTAATAAATAGTTGTGATTGTAGTCTCTAAGAAACAAATATCAATTACGTAGATCGGTTAAATCATTCAGACTTTGCACTATGATTGGAAGACGCCACGCGACAATTGTTGTAAAATGGTTGTGTTTATAATTTACTATATCGTTGATGAGACGCAATATTAAACAACAACAACAATATTTTTCCTTGGTGGGAATCGAACCACTATGATAAGTTTTACACCAACCAAGCCTCAGAGGCAACCTGGTAAAATATACAGCAAATAATATTATGTGTATTAGTATCGTGATTACTTATTGCATTTGTCATTAAAAATTATTTCAATATTATTTATATAAGTACTCTGGTTATATAATATTCTATATATGCTGTAGTTGTAATTAATAATATTTTTTATTTCTGTGCGTAGATGCACAGAAATAAAAAATATTATTAATTACGTAAAGGTCGACTGGTAGAAAATGCCTATGGCATAAGTCCGCCTTTGCCACATTTGTGCATAAAGATATATATATATATATATATATATATCTATATCGTTGACACAAATATAAAGCACATACATGCTCTGATACGGTTAAATAGCAAAGTACAAATATACAATTGTCGGTGACTGATAATAATGTTTGGATAAGCGAGTTTCCCATAGCATACCCTTATCGACGGCCTTCAGTATTATGCAGGATGTTTAATATGAACAATGCATTTTCCTCAATTCGCACAGCGGCTTACTGAAATATTAATAAAATAATATATCTTTGTAATTTTTAAATACATAATATATATAAATTACACCCAGACACAGACCAAATGACACAATATTTGTCCTGGGTGGGAATCGAACCCACGGTCTCCGGCTTAGCAGTCAAGGTCACTAACCACTGGACCAACGGGTCCATCAATTTATACATGATCGCTACAGACTCCATGGAGTTCTAAAGGATTTTCCACCCCGTCATAAAAACAAAGCTGCGAAGTTCAAAACTTAATTTTGTTTATATTAGTGTTTTAATTAATTTAAGAAGAGATTAAAGATTCTCATTTTTTTGTCATTTTCAGACTGTTCTTCCAAGTGGTACCTGATGACCAGAACTTTGATGAAGGAGAGTACGCAGGTGTCTTCCATTTCCGGTAAGATGCGATAACTCATTGTGTAGTAAAACAGCTAAGTGTATCCTAGAGTAATGAGCACAGATAATCGATGTCGTTATAGAGAAAGAGAGCGAAAGAGTGAGTTATTACTTAGTTAGAATTATAGGAAGAACTCCTGGTTTATTATAACATCTTCTTTGCTAAGTCCACTCCTTCCGTTCTTCTGAACTCGTAATATATTTCAAAATTTTCAAAAGTAATTATAATCTTGACATCCTTAACAAATTTGATGTTTTTTTATCAACTCCAAGAGAAGAAGTAATCTCTGAAATTACTGATCTAATTTTGATCAGGGTTGAAGACCGATGTGTCGTGGCGTTACAACATCCATTTGCCACGTTATAATTTGCGGGTTTGATTCCCACTGTGTACAACTATATCTATTTGGATTTGTCTTTTTTTGGATTTGTCGTTCTTGTTTTCGCTTTTTTGAGCTGTTTTTAGCTTGAGTCTAGACAAGTTATTTTTTGTACCTAATGAACATTCGGTTACAGATTCTGGCAATACGGACGATGGGTGGACGTGGTGATAGACGACCGCCTGCCGACCTACAGAGGAAAACTCATATTCCTACACTCACCCGAGCAGAACGAGTTCTGGTGCGCTCTCTTGGAGAAGGCCTATGCCAAGTAAGTTCTTTTTGTCAAAAATATAGTCGATTCTCACTCTAATCAAACATATTTGATCAATCTATGAACACTATGTAACATCAGCGATTTACTAAGACGACCGGAGACCTAAAGCCCAACACCCCTCCCCCTCTCACTCATAGGTCAACGACGCACTTATATCTCTTGAGTTGTCCATGGGTGGTTAGTTACTTACTATCAGGACCTCAATTCTGCTATTTTATGTTAGCGTACAAATCACTGTCATTCCATTGACACATTGACACGCTATTGAGATGGCATTAATATCGGTATTCTCCTAACATTCACAGTCTCAATAGACTGTGGATGTGGTGATAATAGCTCATCAATGGTGATATCAACAACATTGCTATACCTGGCAAATAGAATTAATCATTTCCTTACAAATTTACATTGTACCGTTTACCAAATTATTACAAAGACATCAACAACATTTCTATCAGTGAGAGTTCAGTGACAAATCCAGGCCATTGGTCTTATATAGTTAGTAGAATACGAAAAGTGCGGAACTATTCCGATGACATTCCATCGACAATATTAAAATAGCAGAATTGAGGTTGGTGACTCGTTTGCAGGTTTGCTCCCTACACCATAAAAGATATCATCTACTCAAGTAATACTCCATCCAGTCCAAAAAAATTATAATGGTAAACACTGTATGGTTGTATAGTAATACTATATTCATTGGTTCATAAAATTTTTGATGTATGGTTATGTTCACGATTTTCAGGTTGCACGGATCTTATGAAGCTTTGAAAGGCGGTAGTACATGTGAGGCCATGGAGGACTTCACCGGAGGAGTAACAGAGATGTACGACATGACTGAACTACCCCCAGACTTCTTCACCATTCTGCTCAAGGCTTACGAGAGAAATTCCCTTAGTGGGTGCAGTATTGAGGTGCGTAAAGTATTCAAATAATTGTATAATCCAGTTATTAATTGATCCCGAATGTGTATAATATTTGTGTATCTTATGTACAGTCAACAATAAAAGACTATATAACAGACAAAGAACCCAACACTAAAAAAACAGAAAACAATCGAAGATTGCGTGTTTTTTTTTTCAAATTTAAGTATTTGTTCTAAAATAGAAATAAATTTTCATCTATACAAATAAATAAAATTGAAGTGTCTGTTTGTAATGTCAAAATAATAGGTTTTTTTTTATGGTCACACACGATTATTTGCATGATACCTATGCCTTGCCTATAAACCAGTTTAAATATTTTTTAACTGTCTGTTTGTTCCGGGTAATCTTCAAAACGGCTGGACCGATTTTGATAATATTTTACTACCAAGTAGCTGTATATACAAGGCGTAAATTAGGCATTTTTCTCAGAAAAACCCTACAACTTTTTCCCCGGTCCGCGTACCGAACCCACTAAGGCTTTTCAAATTCCACGCGAACAAAGTCGCGGGCACCAGCTAGTTTAAAATAAAATTCTACACCGTGCAATCGAAATAGCTTATTTTTCAGAACATCAATGTCAGTCAAATAAAAAACAAAATGAAGTTTTTATACACAACACGCCTGTGACTTGAAGAATTAAAATGAACTTCTTATGTCTGTACAGCCGGACCCAAACATCTTGGAGGCGGAGACGCCTGCAGGGCTCATCAGAGGTCACGCGTACTCCATAACGAAGGTCAAGTACGTAGACATCGAGACCCCAAACCGCAGTGGCAAGATACCTCTGCTGAGACTGCGGAACCCCTGGGGCAATGAGGCTGAATGGAATGGACCTTGGAGTGACAAGTTCGTATATTCTTTTGGCTTTGCATTCGTAGGAGAGCCATATATATCTATACAACATAAAAAAACAACAGAGATCATACAAAGTTTTCAAAACCAAATGCTACGCATAGTTACTGGGGCCCCATGGTTTGAAGGGTACCAAGTAGCCCTATATCAGAATGCTGAATTAGTTCTACCGGGTTTGGTTCTTTAATGGCTTCGTCACTTGATCAGCTGTCCTCTTGGGTTCTAGGAACTCATCGGACATCTCTGAAATACGTGTTTGACTAAAACCGTATAATTTTTTATTAATATGAATATCACTCAAGAAACTCTTTTATTTATTCTAAAGCCATGTAATAAAAATAACACTCGATACAAAACTAATGTTGTATATTGTTTACAGGTCACCGGAATGGCGTTACATACCGGAGACTGAGAAGGAAGAGATGGGTCTCAACTTCGACGACGATGGCGAGTTCTGGATGTCGTATCAAGACTTTATCCGCCACTTCTCTAGGTGATTATACCGTTGATAATACTGTAATAAGAATGAGCTCTTGTTAATTTTCACTCAAGTGAATAGGGTTAGTGGAGACCAAACCCGCCCTGCCCCTGATTTTGCGGCTCTAAACTCTTGAATTACAGCTGTCTATGGATGGCGTTAGTCGATTACCACCTAGTCACCTGGACCCGTCTGCTCGTTTGCCAATGCTAATAAAAAAACGTGCTGACTAGGCTGTGGAAACTAACAGGTTCTAGAGACAAGATCGGTGAATGAGTAGATGGTGGGACATCCTAGCGAGTATATAGCCTTCATTGTGCTCTATTCATTGTTATAATAGAATATCTTCAATGTTTAAATATTTATCATAGATAGCTTAAGGTGTACGGAATTTTTTCTATATATTTTTTGTTTTTTTTCTATATATTTTTTGATTTTTTTCCTTTGATAATAAATCTTTTTTTCCATCGTATAACATTTATAAGTAACTTGTATTACTATGTATGCATGTGCCTATACTTATCTATGTAGAGAAATTGTAGAAGGTTATTTTTAAGAAACTAATCGTATTTGTCCTGTTGACTTTATTACTAGCACATGTTTAAAATCATAACCGTTCGGTTTATTTGTTTTGATTGTTTTTACCTATTTTTTTATTATTAAAATATAAGATACATAGAGTAAACTGTGGTTTACAGAGTGGAGATATGTAACTTGAACCCAGATTCATTGGATCCTGAGGAGTGTCCAGAGGGCTGCACCAAGAAGTGGGAGATGTCTGTCTTTGAAGGAGAGTGGGTCCGAGGTAAATTGGACATTAATTTATTTTGGAATACAGTGGCGCTGAACAATATTGTGAAATAGAAAACGAGAAAGGTTTATTTCAGTAACTTGTTCAAATATTCATCAAAATCACTGATCGAATATTGTATATCGTTGATGAAACTGCATAAATGCCTAAGAGCAGTTTGCAACAACACGTAATAACAAAAGTCGCAAATTAGTTTATTGGTTATACTTTCCATCCTAAGCTGCCTAACCGATCATCATGAAATCTGATGTTGTCGGGGGTATAGAAGATGCCTTATATTTCTTCTCTAAAAAGTACTGATTAGGAAGGCAATTTCTGGAACTCTGAGTCCTCTTTATGCTCAGCTAGATATGTAATATCTTTTGTTCTTTTCTTCACGTCCACAACTGTAACTCCAGTATACCAAGATCAAACAGTGACCCATGTCATTAAGAGACTCGTGAAGTCCCAGGAAAAGTTAAGCTGTCTTGGAAACAAAAATATCTAAAAAAATATCTTGAGTTGATCTAATTGTGTAATATATTATCAGGTGTGACGGCGGGCGGCTGCCGTAACTTCTTGGATACATTCTGGCACAACCCGCAATACACCATCACGCTAAGAGACGTAGATGAAGGAGACGGGGAGAATAAATGTACCGTGAGTATCTATGACCCGGCAATCTCGTGCGCGACCGTCCCGCGTGTGACTGTTTTTTACTACCTTAGAGTACTAAAAACGGACACTATAGTCCATCAACGTCGTGCGCGACCGTCCTGCGGGGTGACAGACAGTGGCGGGGGCGAGGTAGCGCGTCATTCTAGCACACGGCTACACACGAAGAGAAGTGTTTCCCTTCCCCGCTACACCACCCGCTACCCGCTGATATCTTGAGTACCTCGTCCCCGCCATCGTCACACTAAATCAGACACAAAAACAGTCACACTAAATCAGGCAGTAAGGATTGACACCTTTATCGTTTAATTATTGTAGGTTGTTCAAATGATTTTGGTTCCAATCATCACATCAACAGGCTTTAATAGTCCACTGCTAGACATAGGCCTCTACTCAGAATGGAAGTTTCTTTCACTTTGCAATGCTGTTGTTCTGCGTAGCTTGTTAGCTCTTACGACACTCACAGGATGAATATCGATAGCGACACTCCGTATACACACACACGCGATTACAATAATATCTTACAATTCTTCAAGTGTGAATCCGACTCGCACTTACCCCTATTATTAAATTATCCATCCCCATCACTTGGATGCTTGCACTCCACCAGCAAAAAACTTTTTGCACCGCCTGCGGTATTTCCGGACGGATACGACGTCCAAACCATCAGAGGGCCCAGTGTAAGTTTATTTAAATTCTTCTCGATGGTTACGGTGACCACGTTTAGCGCTGCGATTGGTCTGCACTAAAATCTCCACCAATCACAGCGCCGGACGCGGTCACCGTGACGATCGAATAGAAGTTAAATAAACTCGAAATTAGATGACCATGCCGGTTTTATTTATTATTATTTTTCAGACATCTGAAACAACGCCATCTAGTTTCACATAAAGCAGAGCTTGTACTATGAAAGCTAAATTGACTGATAGAATACTTATATTATTTTTTAAGTGCATACATATTATACATAGAAAACACCCAAAATTTCGAAACAAATATTTGCAGATCATACAAACATTTGGTCCGACCAGGGAATCGAACCCGAGACCTCAGCACGGCAGTCGCATATGCTACCACTGCACCACCGAGGCAGTTTTGGCTCTCTACCCCTCTAAATTTTGAGTAGTTTACAGTAAAATTACATTTCCTTCCAGGTAATCGTAGCGTTGATGCAGAAGAACCGTCGTTCCCAACGCCACCAGGGTCTGGAGTGCCTGACGATAGGGTTCGCAGTGTACCGCATGCCGGACTACGGCCACGTGCCCAAGCCGCTCGACCTCAACTTTTTCAAGTACAACGCGAGCGCTGCCAGGTCCCAGAGCTTCATCAACCTTAGGGAGGTTAGCTCTCGGTAAGTTACTAATTTAAAGGTTATCTAAACTTCAAGACATGGAAACCATTCAACAGTTTACTGGCCTGTTGGTCTAGTGGTTATAGTGAATCTGACTGCTAAGTCCGAGGTTGATGTTCGATTCCCTTTGTTTCAAGTTATTATTATAATTAGTTTCAGATCGAGTTAAATTTTAGAACCGTAATACAATACTGAAATAGTGGTCAAATAGTCACATAGGCTCGTTCACCTCAACTCGTCATACTTTCTTTTTTTAAAAGACTACTTCCGCGTGAGGAATATATCCTGTGTTGCTGGGGAGTTTACAAACATACATGAAACAGACAAAGCACCTAGACTCGAACAACAATTTGTGGATAACACATGCGGGGATCGAATCCACAACACTCAGCTTAGTAGTAAGCGGCGTGGCGACCGCTTGAACCTAGTGGTTTACTACGCCACCCTTGCAGTCAAGTACTCTTAAACGAGTGCCACCAATCGTCCGAGACAACTCAAGTTTCATCTTAATTATTTCTTATTTTTTATTAAATTGTTGATTATTTATAAGGCCTTTAAAGGAATGAAGAAATAATAAAAATGTATTAAACCCTCAACATGTGTGCAGATTCAAGCTGGAACCGGGCACGTACGTGATCGTCCCGTCCACCTTCGACCCGGAGGAGGAAGGCGAGTTTCTCCTGCGAGTGTTCTCTGAGAAGAGCAACAATATGGCGTAAGTACTGTTTTAAATTGTAATCAGGTAATGTCCTACGTATATTATCCCTGAAAATAAATTGTGACCATCCACCATTTTGTGGATGAAAATAAAATTATTATTAATATTATTTTGTTGAAATACCAATCAGTTTACAATTTCATTTTCTTTCACTTTCACATTTAGAATCCATACTTATAAAGGATAACGGCAGATTCTAATCCCCTAGTAATATATGATGGATGATTATGAAACTTGTTCCATTTATAAAGTGAAACATCTTCACTATTTTCATGTAATTATCATATTTTTGATACTTTGCTAAAAGTAAATAAATTCTTCTCAAAGAAGTGTTACAACTGCAATAACTAAACGTTAACAAAACGCATTCCTACGTTTTCTAAACTTGCCATACATAAAATATAAATTACACAAAAAATGATATATATATTAATTTAAGGTACTAATAACTTTTATTCAAATTGATTAAATTAATCGTGAACACAATGTAAAAAAGTCATTAAACTGATTTTACATGATATCATTTCATTGAAAGATCAAAAAAATTATAAACGGATGATTTTGAAAGATATCTATGTTAACTTGTTGACAGCAATGACAACTCATTTGTGACAGCCAGCTGTCATAGGTATCAACTTCAGTACAGCCGATATATGCAAACTACAAACTGAAAAAACTTTTGAACGCAAAGTTCTAAAAATCTAGTAATTAAAACTGTAATTGTTGATGATATTACCAGTTAAATAAAAACAACAAATAATCCCTACCATGAGATACGCAAGGCGGTACAAAAGTCCCATTCATGCCTGCCATTGTCCTTTATATAGGTAATATAAGAGGGCTGCTATTTATGTATTTGGAATAACAAAGTAAAACAAACATATAGCATTTATTATAGTTTCATTGCTTTTCAAAATATTCGCCGTGATGATCGATGCACTTTTGCATACGTTGGAACCAATTTTCGTTGCACTATTTCCATTCCGATTGTGGTATTTCCTAAACGTGCCTTTTGAAAATTTATTCTTCACGGTTGGGAATAAATAAAAGTCTTTGGGGGCCAAGTCAGAGCTGTACGGCGGATGACCCGTTAATTCGATTTTTGAACTTCCAAATACTAAGTTGTTTCAGCCGATGTGTGACAGCTAGTATTGTCACGATGAAGAAAGATTCTGCGTTGTCGGTTATTCTTTCTTATTTCTTCAAAGACTTCTGGCAAACAAATGGTGGTGTACCATTCAGAATTAACCGTTTTACAATCCTCTAAATGTAGCCCTCGCCGAAAATCGTAATAAATCACAGTACGAAAATTTTCACTTGCTAAATCCATAGTGATAAAGACACGCAATTTTCAAAATGCCGCCACTAAGGATAAACAAATGACAGCTACATGAAACAAATTGTATTCTTTAGCCAAAGAGTTCCATTTTTAAATGTTATGATTCCCTGTTTAATATTGTTCTTGTAACTGGCCAGTACCGCATAAATAGCAGCCCTCGTATAAGTTTCAAGATTGAAATGTGTGAGGTATATTATATATTATTATTAAATGAGCAAATGAGTTTGTTTGTTTGTTACGCTTTTATACCTATACCACCAAACCGATTTTGAAAATACTTTCACCAATGGGAATCTACATTATCAGCGAGTAACATAGGCTACTTTTTACCGCGATAACTGACATACTCGGCAAAAGCTGGTATGAGATACATATAAGTCTGAGTGCCTTTGTATTACTTATAAAGTATAAATATCGTCGTTTTATTGTTTACACTAACAAAACTTTTATTTACAGTGAAAATGACGAAGAAGTTGGTATGGGAGACATTGATGAAAGGGTGAGTTATTTTAATTTCGTAATGTTTTTTTAATTCTTAAGTTCTTCTAATCAGGTAGGCCGTGATCATTGAGTACTGAAGTGAGGCTCTACATTGTTCGGTATTAGTGAAACCATTACAAAAATAATAATTAATAATGCGACAGCGTATCCTTGGTTCACATTTTATAAATTCTTTCATATTCTACACAGGGGGCGTATATTTCAGAGTCGTATAGTAGAAATTGACTTGATTTGATTGACTGCACACCGCCGTTCTGGACAGTATATATTGGCGCTAGGTCAGAGTTACCACTTTCGGAGGTCATATCAATAAAATACGAACTTATAATCCCTTGTTTATTCTTGTACGACCGCTAGTCTAATGTGTCGTTTCACTAGGACATCCTGTATTGATAATTTCTACAACGGTTATAGCAACTGCAGTATCTCTCATCACCAACAAAATTATAACAATACAAAGTAATTCTTAAATGTAGTTCAATATTCAAGATAAACATATTAATGAATTTAACATATCTTTAGATGACTTATTTTACTTAAATTACCTTTATTTAATATGAAACAAACAATATTCTCTCGCAAACCGCCAGCAGATGGCGCTACAACCACATTTCAATTGAAATCAAGTATTATTTAACATATAAAACTAACTGAATAAATCATAATCATTCTAATATGTTTTATCTAGAACACTACACAATAATTTGAGGAATTTAAACCTTTGGAATACGTAATTTAATAATCAAATTACTTCAAACAATTAAAACAGTGTCTATTGCAACTACATGTTTCTAAGAACATCTAAGCTTCATGTCCAAATATACGTCTTTCGGAGTATACCTACACCAACTCTTTTCTCTAGGTTAATGATGACCAATATCATGTTATAGGTGAAGGACATAGTCCCGAGCCCCGAGCCAGCCGACCCAGTGCGAGACTTCTTCAACCGTCTGGCCGGAGCCGATGGAGAGGTGGACTGGCAGGAACTCAAGGAGATCCTCGACTACGCCATGCGGGAGGGTACGTGCCTTTTGACAATATTCTTTTTATTTCTACTATATATTTATTTCCAGTTACCATTGGTCGAAATTCGATCGTAATAATTATCATTATTAAAAAAAACTACTTCCAAAAAAAATTGAGTGACAACCTATGGATAAAATGGTTCTTTACTGTATTGAATTTGGTTATTTATATAAAGATCTTCGACTCTATACCATATATACGGGAAAGTATCTATGTTTCTTTGCGCTCATTTATTTACTGTATCACCTTCATATCTGGTGCCAATTCTGTTGTTCGAAAACTCTAAACTAAACTAAAAATATCACGTTTTCAGAATACGAACCGTTGTTTGACAGAACTAAACAAATTTTTTGTGATTTTTTGTTTAGTTTAGAGAGTTATCGAACAACAAAATTAGCACCATTGTCTTACAAGTTAGGACATAGGAAACTTTAATGCAGAAATAATGTAGGGATTAAGTAAAATTTATTTTGGTATATGTAGCATATTTTCTATATTGTTGTAGTTTAAAAAGATGAGTTGAGATTTTTTTACGCTTTCGCCACAGCATAAGTTACGTATATTAAAGAAAGTTTTGCTAACATTAATACTTTGCCAATATTGTTCTGCAGCAGGAATGTTTTTAAATCTGATTTAGTTTGAATCTATACAATTATCAAACCTAATTATTATGATTAGTATGAAAATCATTAATACACTAATTTTTAAATTTACAAGAACTGTTGATTTAAGTAACTTTGAGTTCCTGAAAATACCCTCACTTTTAAATTTTCGCTTTTGATATACATATCACATACATAAGTTAATGCGATCATATGACAGGGACTTAATACTTTGAATATCTTGCCACCAAATTAATTGTTAATTTAAAGATATGTAATAATAATAACAAATCCACACATCTCACACACGGCCCTCTGATCCCAAACTAGGCAGAGCCTGTGCTATGGTAACCAGACTGCTGATAAACACACTTACATATTATAGATAAATTACACCCAGATTCCGAACACGTGATCGTGCTCATCACACAATTATTTGTCCTGGGTGGGAATCGAACCCATGACTTCTAGCTTAACAGTCAGGATAACTAGCCTCTAGACCAACCGGCCAGCAAGATTATAAAAAACGAGAACTTTGATATTTATTTAGTTATTTAAGCTACCTGCTTAAATAACTAAATAAAGATCAAAAACGACCTAGTCTTGGAGGTAGTATTTATCAGTAATGTTGTTAGAGTCTAATAAGGACATTTACACCCAGATATCGAACAAATGATCGTGCTCATAACACGATTATTAGTCGTGTGTGGAAATCGAACCCACGACCTCCGGCTCATATATAATATCTGTCATTATTGCTCTGATTAAAATATAATTATATACCTATGACCCTCCCATATTAGAATCAATTCGTCTTAAATGTAGTAAACTTTCGCAGTAGTAAAATGACATAGCTTTTGTAAAACTCCTAACTCCGTAAATATCGTTACTAGAGACATACTGTGGCAAGAGTTTATTTGTAAATCGTATCACGGTGTTTGTGGTCGCACTCCTCCGAAACGGCACAACCGATTTTAATGATATTTAGTAGGTATAAGAATAGGTCGTAAAGTATTTTTATATAATTTATGTGGTAGAGCAACGTTTAGCCGGGTCAGATAGTACATATATAAATTATAGTGTAGCCAAGTCACTCATCATAACGATTTTATATAATCTTATATATAATGTAAACAATTTGTGCATTAATCGAAGTGATAAAAATGAAATAATTTAACTTATGCCCATTTTTGAGCTTCTCAGTGTGATAACGCTTTTTGTCAAGTTAACCGCGCTTTTATTTCGTTTCGCTAACCGTCCACGAAGGCATAGTCTATGTAAGTATGTACATCAACGTTTTGCAGATATTTTCTTTTCTTTTTCTTTTTCTTATGTTATTATAAGCAAGTGTTATAATTTGTTATGTACATACCTATTTTATTTTATGTAGTACAATAATTATTATAATTTAGCTTTTTAATTTTTCTTTAAAATACTTTGTTTTTGCCAGTGTTTTAATGTAGAATTTATTTAAATTATATTTTTTTCAAATATTGTGATTAAATTGCTTTTTAAATAGATAGTTATTATATATATGTTATGCTTGTTTTGTTAATGAGGATTATTATAGTATATAATTCAGTAATAAATTGGAATTTATACGTAACCATTATACAAAGACGATTAAATTTATATAAAACTTGAATACATCCATGTGTTTGAGTAAACGATGTCTTTTTCAATTCTGAATGAATTTCCTTAAAAAAAATAGACTTTTTCGCTGAACTGTTAAATTACAAGTACTGTTAGGGCTATAGTTATGTATAGGCATATATTTTGGTATCAAACCAATATTTGTAAATATAAAAGCATGTTATTTGTTAGAGATACAGGGTATAAATGACGGAGGAACGAGAAGCTTTAATTGCAAGCAATGTATGTATTACATTTGGGTTATATGCTGTATTTATTGACGCTTTTCAGTAAAATGATCTATACTCAACTAAAAAATATTGTGATTAAAAATTGATTTTAAATATAATTTAAATACACTATATCGCTTTTCGGTACACCGTTTCTTATACCCTGTGTACCACGTAAATATAAAAAGTGTTAAATATTATAACGAGTAGGTATCTAAGCATCCCACTATACGAACAGAGTTGGCCATGCGTCACGGAGCCGCGTACGACGGCGGAGGGGGGTACACCCAACCGCAGGGGGCAGGGGGGGGTGGTGGAGGGCCGCAGGAGCAGTCCTGCCTCGAGCAACTGCTCTGCGCTCTCTGCTCCCCCATCTGCAAGGAGTTCGGCGTCGACCTGCAACAGGTGCAGCAGCCAAACCACCAGGAGGCAGTGCATCTCACACAGCCACAACCGCAAGGGATGTCTTCAGGTACAGGACTGCATGTTTTGTGTGGTTTTTAAAAATTTAAAAGCAGGGTATCACATCAGTTACATTCGTATTTAAACTTTTGGTGTGAAATCAATAAACATAATATTGAATGAATAAAATGATGTTGTGATATCGGTTTCGAAGCCGACATGACTTATCTCTTAAAATTAAAAAAATAATTTATAATTAATTTAAAAATGCGTTTAATATAAAGATAAAGATTCAAAAATACAGTATTATTACTGATGATACTATACAATCAACGTGCCATATTTTATAATTTACTATCCAAAACATATTGTTTATTTGCACTGCAAGCAAGTCATAAAATTATAACTTTAGCGAAAAGCAGATAATATCCTGCCAAAATTCAATGATTAAAACTAGCACAACTAAGCAGCTCTTTTAATGGTGCTGTGCCCGACAAGGTCCATAATTGTCACCTATTTTTAAGCGGTAGGTACATGTACAATATGAAATGCAAAGAATTGAATTGACACTTGAAATTCACAATGACAATAAATCACGCTTCAGTAAATAAAAAAGACTGATAAAAAAGTATTAATGTTTTAGAAATTAATCAGTAATATGTATTTGTAATTTAAATGATAGGTGTTGTTCAAACTTTTTAAGGGATTTTCTTTTTGTTTATGTCAGTTAACTTTATTAATGTGTGAGATTTTGCAGGTTGCCAGCGAAGCGGTTGCAAGCAAGACTTTATTTATTATCTGTTCAAAATTTTATAGAAATGGAGGGCATGATTTAAAATGTCTGTTTTTTGGTTTTTATTTTGTTTTCTTTTGTTTTTATTTTTCAGGTTTGCGACGGTTCATTTTATGTAGCATTATTATTTGTTCTAAGTGAAAATAGTGCTTGTTAAATTTTTCAATAAGATTTAAAAGCAAAATTTTACAATATGTCTGCTAAGCATCACTAACATTAAAATGTAGGAATTTTCAATATTTCTTTGAAAATTGTTACATTTTCGCTTTTACGCATGTTATTTAGTGTATCGTACATTGGAAGTAAACGAAAATGGGCATTTTAAATTATTTTTCATTTTATTTTTTTACTGCAGTTATATAAGTCACCTCCATTTCCATAAAAGTATAATTTAAGTTATTTTATGACGTCATACTGAAGTAGATTCTATGAAATAAGTTTCATGTTCAAATTTATAGAGAGTAGAAACAAAGTATTAGAAATTGTAAAATACTCCATCAGTCAGTCAGTCATATATACAAGTATGATGTAAAAACTATTTTTTATATACAGTAGATATCTATTTTAATTGTTTAAAGCGACGGTAGCCCAATCGCTAAGGTATCGGACTTGCGATCAACTGGTTGCATGTTCGAAGTCACCTATTTCGCTATCGACATTGATCCATTTCTAAGACTAACGTTTTGCTCAGCTTAAGGGGTAAACAAGAATACTAGAAATGTGTCCCACAAGTAAACTATCATAAAAAGAAAACAAACAAAATATATTTTGTCATGATTTTAACTTCAACTTACTTTCTCAATAACAAGTCACTCGAGGCACGTAACATTAAAAAAAACGGTCCAGTAAACATTACAAAAAAAAATAATGAAGAGAAAAAATATAAATAATTTTCATAATATCATTTCTTAAATATTTATGAAGAATATTGGTATACGACCTGCACTTAATCCATAACAAATCTTTTGGTTAATATTAAATATAACGCATTACAATACATCACATTACATAATATTAAATTAATATATTACATAAAATAGGTACACATATACATTAAATTACTTTTTTTTTAAATATATATTTATTTAATACTTTTCATAGTAAACTACATCAGTGTCTCGTCTATTGAATTCGTCTCGTCTAGTATTGACCTCGTTAATATTTAAATACAGTGTACTGTTTTCTCAATATTGTTACAAACAGGACCCTACCACTGGTGACCTTTGTCGCCATCGAGGTCAATGAATAACCTCATGACCCAAGTATGACCTTATGTAAATATTACAGAACTACACGGCCAAGGTTTCTCTAAGGACGTATGCAGGAGCATGATCGCGATGCTGGACAAAGATAACTCTGGTGGACTCGGCTTTGAAGAGTTCAAGTCGTTGTGGATTGATCTGCGTAACTGGCGAGTGAGTATAAAAAAACATACCGTATTAACAGGACGTATGGGTGTGGTGTACGTATGGTAAATAATGAAATTAATTATTGAAAAAACAAAAATTCCGGCTGCGTGAAAAGCGTGTCCTTCAATTTCTCGTTCCACATTTAAATATATGTTGTTTATATAGATTTTTTGTAAGACATTTATTTTTACCCTTTATTTTGGTACTCCATGGGATTGGATTTGGATTGATTTTGAATATAATTTTGCGCCAAAAATCCTCAGTTCCATTTTTAGAATTATCATAAACAATTGCACTCTCACAATTAAGACGACGCTAACGACACTTTTTAACCATCCTGACGCAGTCGGGTGGAATCAAATTTCTTTTGAGCCATACATGGAGTAAGTAAAACAATATTCTTCAAAAAGCAAGGACCTAAGATAATTATAAAGAATCGATGAGGAAACTCCATAAGAATGTTTGGCGGATAAAATGATGGCGGATCAGGGCTATTTACAGGAGTGGACGTCTTTCGGGTGATGACGATATATATAGATAAAATATGTGATGATTTTGTGTTGTGTGGTGCAGGCTGTGTTCCGTCTGTACGACACGGACGGTCGCGGCGCCATCCCGCAGCGCAACCTGCGCGACGCGCTGACCTCGGCCGGCTACACGGTCAACGCGCACGTGCTCAACGTCCTCGCTCACAGGTACACACGTACTGCATTTGTCTTACCGAACTAGTACAACACTTGTCACCTAAGTAGTACATCACTTGTCACCTAATTAGTACAAAGCCAACGTGCTCGCTCACTGGTACGTACGCATCTGTCTTACCGAACTAGTACAACGCGCACGTACTCAACATGCTCGTTCATAGGTACACACGTACTGCATTTGTCTTACCGAACTAGTACAACACTTGTCACCCAAGTAGTACATCACTTGTCACCTAATTAGTACAACGCTTATGTACTAAAAGTGGTTTCCCACACTAAACTTGTCTTACCGAAATAGTAAAATGCTCACATACTCACACACTACACTTGTTTTGGTGAAATTTTGTTTATTTTTTGCGCTAAATAAATAATTATAGTTATTAAAGACTATTATGTGTACATAATGTGAATGTGTTTCCCCAACAGATACGGTTCCTCTGACGGCTACATACAGTTCGACGATTTCATTATGTGTTCAGTGCGACTCAAGACCATGATCGGTAAGACAACTTGTACTTACTACATTAATTAAGTTTCTGCTTAGCTAAGTAGGACTTCGTTATAGAAACTGTTTTATATGTAGCTTTCCAGAATGTTCATATTAACATAATATACGAGAAAGAGAAAAAAAGCTTCTGTCACGAGCAAATTAGTCGAGAAAGTCGAGGTGTCGAAAGTAGTGGATGATCAAGATGGAAGAATTAATAAAAGTAGAATTGAATTTATTATATTGCACCGATCCCATAAGACGGTCTTATAAGATTTAAATGCAAACACAAATATTTGTTAGTTTATTATACTAACAAGCATTTATTATGTCAATTGTGTACAGTCCCAATATCAACCCCTAAGTACTAAACCATTGCATAATTTTCATAAGCAATACCCTTCTTCTAGTAATGTGACAGTGTGTGTATGTAGAATACTTTAACAGTCATAGAGAATACTATAACTGGCTATTAACTGTCATTTTTTTTAAATCCTGCGTTTAAATTATATCAAACAAATAGCCTCCTTGTTGCTGTATATTCCCTCCTGTGGGCATCATTTGTGCATGTTTTGTAGGGTAGATAATCGTTTACCTAAATATAATTAGTCAAATCAGTAGCTAGTAAAATAATAAAAGTATTTATACATTTATTTTCAGGCATCCCCAAAAATTTGTTTTTATAAATGCATGAAAATTTTATATGTCTTGTGATACGCCTAATTAAATTAGCGCTAATTAATAAAAAAAACCTGATCTAAAAACACCACTCAATACATAATGGTGTGAGATTTTGCCAACCGCTTAAATACAAAAATGTTTTGTGATTTGTTTGTTTGTTTTCAATTACCATTACCGAGTCAATATCATTTTTGTACCCTTCCAATAGGTTATGTTTAAGAATATGTTTTTGTGAGTTTATAAAATAGGTTTAGACTGTTTTAGGTGATAATTATAATTGTTGCTTATGAAATATAAGTGTGTGTTAATAACCGTGACAGCGAACAACGAACCGTTGGAGAATCTCGAACGTGAACTGCAGCTGAACTCGTGAGCGGCGCCGGGACTCGCACAAGTGTACGACATACCAAATGACAATATTGTCACCTGTATATAACACCATACATAATTGCAACTACACCCTGTGACTGAACTTTGTTAGCCACGTTCGTCATTCGCACTCATAACTTGAAAAGTAATAATTTAATAATAACTTCACAGTTTCACACACAATGGTCTGATCCCAAACTAGGCAGGGCCTGTACCTACTATGGTAACCAGACTGGTGATGAACATGCTTAATTATTAAATAAATACATATTATATATTAATTACACCCAGACATAGAACACATTATTGTGCTCATCACACAATTATTTGCCCGGGTTTGAATTGAACCCACAACCTCCTAAAAGACATAAAGCTCAATCAGCTGATCAAGAGAATAATATGACAGCTAGTGTTTGCTGTCAGTACCCAGAATATTTATATCTAGCATGTTCATAAAGTACTCTGGTCCAGTTCTGTACTCACTGACCAAACGCAGAAAAAAAATATACATTAAAATTTATTTATCACAGTGAAATATATATTTATAATTTCTGTAAAATTCTTCTAAAGAGTTACGAAAGATTTTGAACACTGAAAAGATCTAGCACATTAGTCTCACACACACATTATAAGAAAGAAAAATTCAATAAATTATGGGATTAATAATCTTCTATTAAAGATGGAGTGTGAAAATAAAGTTATATAAAATTGGTTGAACAGTGTGAAGTTACAGTAATGTTTGGTATTTATGTGCGCTATGTCACCTACACACATGAGGCTGTGTGGGAAAGGAACATAAAATTAAAAAACAATTTATATTTGAACAAAATATTTGATTAAACCTGTTAGATTTTAAAGACATTAAAAGAATTAGTGGTCGTTTCCTTCATAGCCGTGACTTATATTGTTTGCGATAGTACTTTAAATGTATATAGTATTGATTTTTTCTTAAGTAAATATCTTTTATGTGATTTCTAAACTGTTCGCAAACAATAACTTCTCTACATATTTCGGACATTTTACGTGTATATAGTATTTTTTTCAATTATTCAGAATGTGTACCAAATGATAAAATACAATGTAAAATGTCCCCCTTGCACTTAACGCTTACTAACTGTTTAACTATCGCGCCATTTTTTAATCAAACCTAACGCCGGCCATTTTGTTTTTCAGATACGTTCAACAGCAGATCGTCTGGCGGAGATTACGCCACGTTCTCTCTCGAAGAATGGCTGAATCGCACAGTCTACTCATAAAACGTCATCACTAGGCTTATATATGTAAACGAGGCCTATATATACGCATAAATTGTACATTGTCGAATGTTCTTAAATGTTACCGTCATTTTTATAAACTAATTGTTACACTCGTCTAAAAATATATTAAAAATGTATATTAAGTCACAACTTTTATTATGACTCAATGTACCAATACGGGTATTTTCTATAATTGACTAAAAAAAACTAAAATATTTTTATAATTGTAACTATTTAAATATTAGTTCTGCAAGATAGTATTATTTTTGTTATCCACCGATTATTCATTCCAATGTGCTAGAGCGGATTGTCTATGGTCATACGTCCTTGTTTAGTTCTGTGCGATTAGCTGCTAAAGCTTTTTTGTGGAAATCTAATATTTTATGTCTCAACTAAAACATTGCAATTTGTTGCACTGAGAATGCATTTTTGTAATCGCATTGTATTTATTCTGACATTTTTTTCTTTATCAAAGATCTGAAATAAAACATTTATTTATATTTATCATTTGTATCATTTAAACGTTTTTTCATTATCAACCACTTAAAGATAGTTATGGGGCAATATATATATATATATATGACAATGATAGAAAGCAAGAACTCGATAAAATATATAGTAGGTATGTATTGGCTTTCATAAATGAGATGCAGTAACCTTATTCACTATTTATTTGACGAATCAATATCCACATGACATACACACTGTTAAATTTCATAATAATCGTAACAGAATTCCAATCAAACGACCATATCCACGGACTAATTAAAAACCGTGAAGCAGTTCAATTGTAAGAGACCCTTTAAGCAGACTCTTCTACATCTAATCCCAGTTCTCTTGTTCCTCGTCCATGTTCTCGTCGTCACTTTCTTCCTCTCCATCCGCCTTTAACTGCCAAGAAGATGATCTGACCGCGTCTGAAGATACGATTGAAAGCTTCGCGCCATCTGCGAACATTCGCGTTCTTTATTATTAAGATAGAACTTGGCATAAAAATGACTAAATATTTTCAAATCAATACAGGGTACATAGAACCACTATATTAGATCCAATTATAGTTCTGAACAAACATAAAATTTGAATAAAATCCGGACCAGGCGTTGAAAAGGTAGTCAGTGACAAACCCATATATAGAAGTAGATAATGAAAATAGATGTTTCCACTTACTCAATACAGTGCCATTCATAGCCAGGAGCTGTGGGTAGACGGCGAACGGCACGCTCAGCATGAGCATGTTGAACATGCGCGTGGACCTCATCGGTCGTTTGGGCCTGAAGCGGCTCAGGAACGGCATCATCGTCTCTTTGTTGGGCAGGAAGGGCTCGCCGTATATCTGGTGAGGAAGACATTTTAGAATGGGGCAGTTGCCTAACAAAATTATACTAATGTGTCCGCTGTAGCTTTAAATTGTAACTTATAGAGGGCATGCATAATGGTATTTTGACCCTACCACTGTCCTTGTCTCAGCTGGTCACATTTGTGAGACTACTGTTACGCCACACTAGGTGTTAAATATTACTTCTACTTTTGCAATAGTACACCTTAGAAACTATTAAATTAAAACAGCAGTTCTGAAATCTAATATATTTTTATTTAATTTAATGATTAAACTTAAAACACCTCCCACCCCTTGATACACAATGTCACACTTCGTCGACCCCCTGCTTAAATTGTAACGTAATTAATTTTTGGATTGCCCCTAGTGATGAATGCTAAATTAGCATTCCAATTTAAATATGTATTTCAAATAATGAATACCTACCCTTATTTGATTCAATTTTCGTTCCTGTGGCAAGCACTGTGTGTTCACGACCTCATTGACGATCTGTAAACAATTTATTTATTTATATCTTTATTGTATACACTCAAAAAGAAAATAACAAAAGATGAGTTACAAATAAGTAGACGTAACAATCGGCGGTCTCATCGCTCACGGCGATCTCTTCCAGACAACCTTATCAAAGATTTTAGGTATTTAACAGTTTAGGGTAGTATACATACACATAACACATTATCACATAAATGTTGAATTGGAATGCAACCCTTTACTAATATGACAACACTAGCAGTGTCATTTATTATCTGTGTTCCTTTCGTGTCTGTGATACGAATACAGCCTCTGTACGTTTTCTAGTTCACCGTGATCCATTTTAATATTGCATCCAATTAATTACCTACAGTAAATACAAATACCCATACATATTTAGAATATATTATATAGTGAATCTGTATACAGTATTTATAATGACATAAAAATCCTTAAATACTTTATAAAAAACAGGCAAGGTTTTAGCTTGTCGGATTGTTTCAGGCAAGTTGTTCCAGAGTCTTACTGCTTGCACAGTAAAAGATTTGTCTGCAAAAGGGGTGGAATGTTTTTTCATTTTTAGTTTTAAATTCTCCGATGACCTCAGGTCCCTGCAATGTGTATTTCTTTCTTAAGTAAAAATGTGGTGTGGCTTGTATGTTTTTTATTATTATTATTTTTTCTATTTTTTATGTTTCACTTCATTTTCTCTTGTATTCGTTTTTTCTTCTTAATCTTGTTTTCTCTTCGTTGTTTTTTCACCTTTAAGTCCTTAATAACGGACATACTAGCACACATCAAAACAATGTTGTGATATATTTAATAGTGCCATTGTATCTATCTGTGAATTGCAAAAGAGTGGCCATGAGTTTGTTTGCCCTTTCTTCTCATAAGGCTCAACCCCTTGGAAACGGGCGGTTGTAGATCGGCACAGGCATATCATAGATTTTGTATGGGTTTGATTTTTGTTAAATTTATTTGGTTACTATTTGACAAAACAGAGATTGTTGCTTTTGTGTGTGTTGATCTATGACTTTAGAGTCTACATGGAAGACGATTACAAACAATATTGGAAATTTTATGAAATAAAGAAAGTTTGAGTTGAGTTGTGCGGTGTGTAAGAACTCAAAACGTTCTTTGAGATAAGAGGGTGCGTGAGGATGAAACAGAACAATGTATAAAAGAGAAAGTATATAGAGATTCCGGCGAAGGCGTATTGGTAGCCATTTTAGTATAGAAAGATACTCTGAGATGTGATCATACTTGCGTAATCCAAATATGAACATCACCGTAGTGAAAGATGGGATAAAGAAGAGATTGTGCGAGCGCAATTTTAGTATTGGTGGGAAGGAAGTTCCGTAGCCTTCGCGGAGATCCCGCTGCTGCAAATAGTTCGCGGCTAACTTCTCCAATCTGAGGACTCCAGGATAGGTAACTATCCATATAGATCCCCAAGTTTTAACCCTTTCACTATATGGGACAAACGCACCGTTGCAGAAAATAAGTAGTATCTGCTGAAAGTTTATTGTACAGTGCAGCCTGGGACTTCCTACTATAATGACTTGTGTTTTCAAAGGGTTTACACTGAGTTTGAACTCCATACATATTTGCACTAAGTCTCTGTTAATGGCATCCACTGTTTCTGTTAGATTATCTGGAGTAGCTTGTGAGTAAATTTGGAGATCATCTGCATAAAGATGGTAATATACTACATTAGACATACATACTACAAAATACTTTAGTTACTACATTTTATTTATTATTAGCTTTTAATTTATTTTTAGCTTTTTTAACTTCTAACAATGTGTATTGTAATATCGAATGACAATCGGCTTTATAATTTGTGTTACTTTCACATCAACAATTTTACTCACCTGACTTAAGAAGGGTTGTAATTTTTTCAACTCCATGCGAATTTGTTTCCTCGCTGTCTCCTCCTCAGTGTCCATTTGATGTAATGTCGCGTCCAAACCACTCACATGTTCAGTCATCTGTAATATTTACGAAGGTTAACAAATGATAATTAACCATTTTATAATAAGTAAGTTTGCAAACAAGCACCTAGTCTAGGAGTTAGTTTGAATTTTTTGCTTATTGTGTTGTTCGAAAACTCTCTAAACTAAACTAAAAATCACAAAAATTTTGTTTAGTCCTGTCAATTCCGTTTATATATAAAGTATATTTAGTTTGACACAAAAAAAATAGTTAACCGTCCGCGCCGTGGGGTGACGGATTAAGAATACGGATTGTCACCACCCCTATTTATCCCGTGGGTGTCGTAAGAGCCGATTAAGGGAACCAACTACACAGGAGAACAGCACAGCAAAGAGAAAACTTGACACAAACCCTATACCAAACTGTTTGGCCAGCATGGTATAGTAGGCGAAAACCTCCTTTCTAAGGAGAGGTCTATGTCGAGCAGTGGACTATTAAAGGCTGTTTCGTTAAGTTCCTCAAAATAGTTCATAATTGCTCATTTGGTATTCTGTTGTACGTTCTAAACGTCAAAGATTGACTGAAATTAGAAAGTCATCCTAAAATTAGATGGGCTCTAAATAGGTGCCGACTAAGATTTAGACTGTTAAGTATAGTATAGTTCTTAAAATGTTGTGTTGTTTTTTTATGAAAAAAGGGATTATAATTTTTTCCGTAGTCTTGTAATCGCTGAAAGTTCATTATAAATAACAATTAGATATTTTATCATTAATCACAATTATATTAATATGTCAGTCTTTTAAATTTATCTGGATTACTTTTTGGGCTCCCTAGGCTTGGAGCTCAGCTTTGGAGGCTAACTCATCACATTGAGCCTATTTTTCCATCTATCTCTGCATTCCAATGGTTTGCTCAAAGTGATTACCAAGGCAAGACAATTGTATTTAATTTATTAATTTATTATTTTTTGTTTTAGCGTAATGATATTGTTTGTCAATAATTTTGTTACGTACTAGGTATATCATGTCATGTATACATGAAAAGAGATAAAAGGAAGGAAGGAATGCGCGACAGAGGATGTCAAGTCATCAAAGAGAATGGAAGAAGGACTCATTGCAACGATCTCAAATAAATTTGGTAAAAGGGTAGGAACATAATGATAATATACACACACTACATACTGACTGCACGGATGGCATAGTGATTTAAGGGGTCGGCACGCCGCTTCCTACTGCGCTGAGTGTTGTTGGTTCGATCCCCACATCGGATAGTCTGGGTATTGTGTCCGTTTCATGTATGTTTGTAAAACCCCCGTAACACGGGATATATATTCCTAATGCGGGAGTAGTCTTTTTTATAAAAGAAAGAAAGAAAACCACCTTAACCACCTCCATAGTATAAAAGAAACTAAAATATAAATACCTTGGTATAAATCTTCGCACTGTATCTCTGACACAAAGACTTCACATGTTCCATCGGCATTTCTTGTCCTGTAACGACAACTTCGATTAAAGAGAGATAGAATTAAATAGATCGAGTTTGTAGCCAACATGATTTACTCGATATGGATGTTTTGCAGTGACCACAGCTTGTTTTGAGTTGTTTTTTTGGCTCAATGAGCGATTTCTTTTTTTTAAACTTAACCCATCTCACACGGCTGTCTGATTCTAAACTAGGCAGAGCCTCTACCTACTATGGTAACCAGACCGCTCATAAACATAATTAACCATTTCTAAATCTGTACTTGTACATTTTGGATAAATTACACCCAGACAACAAATTATCGTGCTCATCACACAAAATATTCGGGTTGGGTGGAAATCAAACCTACGACTTCCAGCTAGTCAGGGTTACTAGACCAATAGGACCGTCTTTAAACGTAACATATACGTGACTTTCTTAATTATCTGTGTATGTAAGTAATACTGCTTATTTCATATCATGTCTATAAAAAAAGGATAATTCAGAACCTCCTGCATCTTAAAGACAGTTACAAATATGATGTACAAAAAAATACACACAAAGAGCCAGAGAGTCATGTCACCACCCCTGTTCGTCCCATGGGTGTAGTAAGATCTGACTAAGGGAGCAAACTACGGAGGACAACAGCATAGCAAAGAGAAGCAAAACTTGACACAAACCCTATACCAACCCGTCTGAACAGCGTGATATAGTAGGCCCAAACTTTTTTTCTAAGGAGAGGCCTATGTTCAGCAGTGGACTATGAAAGGCTGTTGATTATGATCTAGTATGGATAAAAGGTTTTTTTTTAAATTTATTTGTAGTCATACCCCGTTGTGTAGAGTTAGCCGTCGTTATATCGCTCTCCTGCAACTGCTGCCTGGGAGTGCCAGCCGCGTCCTGTATGGCGTGGAGAGTGGACAGCACCAGCTGGAAGTCTCCGAAGTGAGGGTGCGCCCGACGGTAGGCGCCGGTCGACTTGAAGCAGGACTCCTCGAGCTCAGGTGATCGGGATACTAACACTTCAACGCGACCGTGGATTACCTGGATAAAAATATTAGGACCTTGAATAAGTTGTCGCTGTTTCATCAAAGATGGCAGTAGCAGTACTCCGTGCTTGAAATTATGAATGGTAACGCACTTGCAAGGAGGTAACCTAAAAGTACAGTGTATGATGGTTGGACATTTTCAAAACCATTAAAAAATTACTTCTACTTTTGTGGCAAATAAAGTGTATTTGCGGGGAATTTTATTGCAATACTGCAGACCTATATCGCGAATGGGACATACTTACTGTAAGACAAACATTTATTTTGCAAACTGTAAAAACACTCCGAGCTTCAGTTCGACGTTAACCTTCTCAAAGATAAGCGGCGAAAAGGTAAGGTATGTCCTCGTTTAAATTTCAAATCTTCACTCTCTCAAAGATTCTTCTGTTTTCTTGGGTCATATATTTACAATAAAATGAACAGTATCCTTAACATATACCCCAAAAGTAAATTTGACTGTCTGCAAATGCTAAAATGTTATCTGAAAACCCTGGATTATGATACAACTGAAAATTTAATGACCATCCTCAAATAAAGCCCTATTCTGAATATTCCCTAACCCTCCTATCAGTAATATCAAACTCTCAACACAATCTCATGACACTTTCTACATTAGTCACTATCACCTACGCACAATCTCGTGCTCATTCACTCACAAGTACACACACCCATACATACACACACACGAACACACACACACATTTCTATTTTCATTTTAATTATTTTTTGTAAGTAAATAATGTTTGTCCTCTTTGTTTTCTCTTTGGTATTGTAATCGTTTTAGTTTGTTTAATTGTTAACTTTCTCACACGGTGTATTGACTGTCTCCTATATCCACGCGGAAGGCCTGGTGACCTGTAACACAGGTTTTTTTTTTAACCTACATCAGGCACCAGTCTTTCACAAATGTGGATTTAAGAAGCTAGCCTAGTACTATATTATTTTGTGAAGGTATCCATTTGTGAAAAGAGAATAAAATATTATTATTATTATTCAAAAGAAATCTGCACCTGAAGCATATAGAATTCTTGTTGAGACTTATGGTGACAATGCTCTGTCGAATAAAACATGCAGACTGGTTTCGACACTTCAAAAATTATGATTTTGAACTTAAGGATAAATAACGTTCTGGCTCACCAAAAAAATTTGACGAAGAATTTGAGGAATTACTCAGACGTTAGCAAAACTGGGCAAAACATTACAAGTTGATGAGTCAACTGTTTCAAAACGTTTAAAAGTGTTAGGAATGATCCATGAGTGCCATATGAATCGAAGCCAAGAGACATCGAATGGCGTTTTGTCACGTGTGAACTACTGCTTCAACGACAGAAGAGAAAACGTTTTTTGCACCGTATCGTGACTGGCGATGAAAGATGGATACACTATGATAATCCAAAGCGTAGAAAATCATGGACTAAGCCTGACCATGCATCGACATCGTCCGCAAACCCAAATACCCATGGTTCGAAGCTTCTTCTCTGTATTTGGTGGGATCAGCAGGGTGTAATTTATTATGAGCTGCTCAAATCGAATGAGACTATCACGGGGGATCGCTATCGACTTCAATTGATGCGTTTGAGTCGAGCCGTAAAAGAAAAACGGCCGCTACACGAGAAGAGATAAGAAAAAGTTATTTCATTACATAACAACGCCCGGCCTCATGTTGCAAAACCAGTGAAAACCTGCCTGAAAAAGCTTCTACCTCACCCGCCGTATTCACCTGACATGGCCCCTTCCGATTTTCACCTATTCCGATGGATGGCACATGGCTTATCTGACCAGCGCTTTCATTCTTACGAAGAAGCTAAGAAATGGGTCGATTCTTGGCAAGCCTCAAAAGACATGTCGTTTTTTCGACGCGGAATTCATATACTGCCAGAAAGATAGGAGAAAGTGGTCTCTAGTGATGGGCAATACTTTGAATAAAATGTTTTTGTTCCTTTTTTTTAAATATTGAATAAGTAACTTATTCAAGGTCCTTTGTAGTATAAATTATTAACTATTTTTGTGTACTATTTTATCCTGAGGTTGTATTTTTCTACAACTTTACATTTAGGAAGTCTTTTCCCAAATACGTTTTTACATATTTGGAAAATGACTTTTTGTTCAATATTCAATTTTAAGATAACAAACATTAAAAAAACATACTTTAAACCCCCTTTTCTTGCAGCAACTTAAAAAATAAACACATCATACGTCAAGAGACATGTTTTAAACATTAATCATTTTCTAACTTTCTACTAAACCACAGAATTGAGCAATTGCTCACAACTAATAAAATATGTGGAATCATGTTCGTACTCGCGTATTTACTTCCACAAGTGGTGAAAAACCGTGATTATGGCGATTTGCGCGATATTTACGTGTCGAGAAAGTTACGGCTGTAGTTTGTCCTGAGTAATTTTATTTCATCAATAAATTCAAAAACTTTAAATATATTTATGGTCCTGACTGTACATAATTATAATGTTCTAACTATTATTAGGCATATAGACGAAAACTTAAAGGCAGCATGTGACTCCGTGAAACTTCGAATAATTTAAAATACCTTTACATTACCGCCATCGAGTCTAGAAAGGACTCTGTATTTTATGATTTAAATATAATTTACCTTAGCAATGTCCTGCAACAATTTATGGTTGTATTTTGCGCTCAAACCAACAAGGCCAGGGTATTTAGCTTGTAACTCCGACATAATCTCATTTGTTGTAAAATCAACAATCTGGAAATATAAATCATAAGTTAAAATGACATATCACATCAAAGCGTATAGATGCAGCCTAAAGGCCTTGTCAACCTAAAGGCCAATTCTATTAATACAAGTTCGGTCACAATTCAGTTGAAAAACATCAGGTGTTGACTGTAATGTAATTATTTGGTATTTTATATAAACCAAAATTGTTAGTAATATTTTATTGAGAGTTGATCGGAACTGAATTTTGACTGAACTGTTATTACGAGAATTGGCCTTCTGTCACTTTTTTTTATTCTAGGAAATATAAACAACAGGGTCTAGACTAGACAGAACTAAAGTATTATTTTTTTAAACACAACTCGCATTAGGAATATATATCCTATGTCACAGGGTACTTTACAAACATACATGAAACGGACACAAAGAACATCCAGAATTTGTGGATCACACAAGGTGTTCCATGTGGGGATCGAAGCCACAACACAACGCAGTAGGAAGTGGTCTGGTGACCGCTTGAACCACTACGCCATCAGTCGTTAGCAACTAAGTTATCTAAAATACAGATATACTTTTGCCTGTTAGTCTTATGTATATGTATGTCATAAGATATGGGCACTTTGGAAATCAAAGATGGTTTTTTTTCCAATTCTCCCATGATAGATTATTATATCAAGAGGTACACAGATAGGTAACAAGCTAATTATTACATATTGTATATAAAAACAAAAACCCGACTGCATAAAAATGTATATTTAAAATTTTCAAACCGGCAATTTTAATTTTTATATTTTTGTGTCACTCTTTGAATTAAGAAGAATTTATTGACACCTTTAAGGCCAAAATCCATCAAGTAGTTTAGTTTACAGAGTGTGCCAAAGAAACATACACTTGAAAAGCATAACCTTCCTAGAGCAGTCAGGTAAAAAGAGAAGGCAATTGATTAAAATGTATATTATTTTTGGTTTATACAAATGGATTGGAGATTGTTATTATTGTTCTGATTGCATACCTGTGACTCGAACTGGGTATTGCCTATAACGGGAAGCCTAATTGTTTTACCATAAAAATATGCTATAATTCATAATAGTAAAATGTATGAAATAGTATAAATACCTTTCCACCAGCATTTTCCTCAGCAATACGAGCCTTTTTGCGCATTGGAGAAGGAACACGTTTACGTTTAGACTTTGATGATATACCTAAGGGTATCTGCAAAATAATAAAAAATTATAATGAGATAGAAAGTTAAAAGCATATTGTTTTGGTGTTGAGTTTGAGAAAGGGTTATGGGACTGACTCATCTTTCTGGTACTAATGTCAATAAATATATCAATGTTTTTCAAGGGGTCAGTGAGCCAGTACTGTATGGGATTAAGATTTTACACCGACTGACCCGAAAGACATTCTCATGCAATATTTCCCCATAACGTATGGTGATGGATTAAGAATACGGAGTGTCACCACCCGTATTTATCCCGTGGGTGTCTTTAAAGCCAACTAAGGGAGCAAACTATGCAGGACAACAGCACTGCAAAGAGAAGGAAACCTTGAAACAAACCCTATACCAACCCATCTGGGCAGCATGGTATAGTAGGCCAAAACCTCCACTCTAAGGAGAGGCCTATGTCCAGCAGTGAACTATTAAAGGCTAACTAAACAAAAAACAATGCACTGACATCCTTAACGCTTTACTTTTTTTAAATTTCTTTAACATACTTACATCAGGCACTTTCTTGGGGATGAGTGCAAATAAATTTCCTTTCCCCTTAAATTTTAAATTGTTAATACTTTCTACTACATGCACGGGGTCCAATCTTTCAGAAAGACGAAGGTAGCAGATTTTCATTAAATTAGAATTATTTGATTTTCCAAAATTGAGTGCTTCGAACTGACCACGTATAGGCTTCTGAAGCACTTTTACAATACCCTTTAGGCTGACCTGAAATTTTTAAATATTGTCGTGAAAATACTTTTGGAATCCAGATATCTAACCAGTAAACACAATATAATAATATATTTTCAGTCGTATTGTGTGGCGTAGTGTATAATAGCAAATAATAAGGCTACCTTGATGGGAACATTGTCAACGGCTATTATAGACATTGTTAAAGCGTTTAATGTTTTATATTTAAATTAATTATTTGTAGATTATCTGTTACAATAACACTGTTCAATGCACCTAGACCTAGATTACGTGCTTTGAAGTACTTCAAACTTTGAAGTATGATGTTTCTTGGAATTAATATTGAAGTTTGACCATAAACTATAATATAATTTGACTATAAATTCGGTGTTGTATTGCTAACTCAAAAAAATATTTAATGCTATATCTAAAATTTATTTATGTATTATTACAATTAAAAACATTTTATTGCTAATTACAAATCTCTGCATATAATAATAATCGTTTATTTTTCTCTCTCTCACAGAATAGTTACAGTTATTCCATCTTAATGTAGGTGTTATGTGTTTGGTTAGGTGAATCTGTGTGAGAGACTGGCATCCGTACTAGGAGGACCTGTGACAAATTTACCAGCCTCTCCAACTCTGGACAAGTTACCTTTCTGATTAACTTCATTAAGCGTAACCAGGAGTTTTTGATCGGCTGAAGAATCTAGAAAACCCGTCAAAAATTTTCTCTTCGAAAACATATTAAAAATATTTATGAAATTTACTTGGACGTTGAGAAGAAAATTACGTAGAAGACGTCAATTACAAATTTGTTGATATCAAAACCTATATTAAAACCAAAATAAAAATGCTCTGTGCGAAAAAAAAAACATCGACGACAAAATTCTCTAGTGTGAAGTCTAACTGTCTCTCAAGTGCTAACAATGGATGAAGACAAACCTCCTGATCCTCCTGATAAAACGACCCCACGTACTCCCCCTTTTTCCCCGACTTCTTATTCTCTTGTTCAACCCGGATACCCCCCCGAACCCTCTTTCAACGTTTGCCAACATCATCTCTAATATTTCACAACCCGAAAATGTCCTTTCCCGCGCTTCTGGTTCACGTAAACGTTTAGTTGATGACGAAATAACCCTAAATCATCCGCCGAAACAGCTAAAAAGCCTTGTCAGCCGTGCGAAATATAACGCAAATGACAATGGTCCTTTCATTGTTCACGTATCGCGAATTGAAATCCAATCCGGTGTCCTTTGGTCTTTTCCTTTTTAAAAATAATATATCCAACGTGGTGAAAGATGGTGTCAAAAAAGTAGGTTGAAATCGTGTTTCTGTGGAATTTGCAACGCCTCACGATGCAAATTCATTTTTAGTTCATGCCCTCCTTGTCAATCTTAAATTTGAAGCGTCTTTCCCATCATTTAACATAACAAGAATGGGTGTTGTATCTGGCATCCCAACAGACATGACAAAAGATGATATTTGTAAGTATGTAACAGTGCCACCACAGAAAACCAAAGACAATCGTCGTAAAATAACAGAAATAAGCAAAATAATTAGCGAGCAACTGCGGAGAGAGAGAAAAACCAAACGGACTAACACAATGAAGAATTTTATAGAAAAAACCGGAGGAATAAAAAAGGCACTGAAAACACTAAATCTCAAAAAGGATTGGATACCTAGCATGAAAAAGAAAGATGGAAAAAATACAGGAAAAAGATCTGAGATACTAAAAGTTGCCACAGAATTTTACCGAAATCTATATCAAAGCCAAAAATTGGGGGGCTCGACTGGAAAAGAATATTATACAGCAACCAATGAAGAGGAAATACCTGAAATATTAAAAGAAGAGACTATAGAAGCAATACGTACACAAAAGAACGATAAAGCTCCCGGATCAGATCTCGTTACAAATGAACTACTGAAAACGACATTACCAGTGATAGCTCAAAAGTTTACAGAAATATTTAACGAAATTATCGAAACAGAAAAGATTCCTGAGGATTGGACTAAATCGACCATTATATTACTACACAAAAAAGGTGACAAAGGAGATATAGCTAACTATAGGCCCATTAGCTTAATGTCTAATGTCTATAAGGTGTTTTCAAAAATTATACTGTCCAGAATTGCCAACACTCTCGAAGAAAATCAGCCCAAAGAACAAGCTGGATTCCGTCGAAGTTTTTCAACCATGGATCATATCCATACCCTTAGACAAATATTACAAAAATATAAAGAATATAACAAGATCTACTATCTAGGGTTTGTTGATTTTAATAAGGCATTTGACACACTGGAACATGGATATATCTGGGATGCATTAAAAATACAAGGGGTACAGTTAAAATACGTACGAATACTCCAAAACGTATATACTAAGAGCACTGGGCAGGTAAAGCTAGAAACTCTTGGTGAAGAATTCCCTATCAAGAGAGGCGTACGCCAAGGAGACCCCATCTCACCAAAATTATTTTCAGCCGTCTTAGAAATGATATTCAGGAACCTAGATTGGAGGAATAATGGAATAAACATAAACGGCGAAAACCTGAGTCATTTACGTTTTGCTGACGACCTCATTATATTTTCTAATAACCCAAAATCACTGGAAACAATGCTGCAACAACTGGCCGATGAGAGTTACAAGGCAGGGCTAACAATGAATTTAAATAAAACAAAAATTATGTCAAACTCATCACAAACAGAGTCAGTTAAAGTCAATAATGAGCAATAATGTCAATAATACCCCTTTAGGGGTATATATGTTCTGTGATAATGAGCAAATAGAATACGTACATGAATACATATATTTGGGACAGTTAATATCTACGGAAGACTGCATGAAAAAGGAAATAGAAAGAAGAATAACTAACACGTGGAAACGATATTGGTCACTTAGCGAAGTAATGAAGAACAATGAAATGCCGATGAAGGAAAAAAGAAAAGTATATAATATGTGTATTCTACCATGTTTATTATACGGGTGTCAAACTTGGGCAATGACGGAACAACTGGCAAACAAAATAAAAGTTTGCCAAAATAGTATTGAAAGAAGTGCAATAGGAGTTAAAAGAAAAGACAGAGAGAAATTAAAAGACATAAAAAGTAAAACAAAATTCAAGAATGCATACACAAAATACAAACAATTAAAGTGGAGGTGGACAGGACATATGGCGAGAGAGAAGAAAGAAAAATGGACAAGACTGATAACAGAGTGGTATCCAATAGATGGCAAAAGAAACAGAGGGAGACAGCCGAAGAGATGGGAGGATGACTTCAGAAAAATAGCGGGTCCAACATGGATCCGAACAGCAAAGGCATTTTTGACATTGTATATAATAATTCTTGACATTGTATTTACTAATCCTTCCTGAAAATATTTGTACGCTGGAAACAGCAGAATATTATGGATGTCATATTATGTCTAACACCTGTACCTCAACAATATTCTGACAAATAAATATATTATTATTATTATTATAAAAAAGAAAGGACAGAATGGAGATCTTTAGAGGAGGCCTTTGTCGGAAGACAAGTTGAAGAGTGAATACCGTTTGCCTAACGCAATATACTATAACAGTTAATTCATTAATAATAAATTAATTAAGATAGTAAATAGTTATGAGTACTAATAAAGATAATAAGTTAGTTAGGCACATATAGATATATTTTTGTAATTTAAACTAAAAACAACAATAAAGGCTTTTTATTTTATTTTTATTTTATTTTAACAGTGCCACCGGGATGTGGTAAGATCCTAAAAGTTAGAAGACTTAATAGGAAAACTTTTAGAGATGGTATTGTTGAGAGGAAATCCACAGAAACCTGCGTTCTTACATTTGATGGTCAGGTTCTGCCAAAGAAAGTTTTTTGCTGCTACACCTCCCTTCCTCTGCAACTATATATTTATCCCTCCATACAATGCAGAAAGTGTTGCAGGTTTGGGCATGTAGAATCTACTGGGTCTACCAATAGGGATGACCTGGTTTTGACAGCTCATAGCGGCCATGTTTGATGATTTATCTTGGACGTCTCTTGACATTTGTGTTCAGTACGGTTTGCCATTTTATCATTTCACGTTTCACTTTAAACCAACGCTTGGAAATTGTCCAAAATTTCTTTGAAAGTGACGAAGGAAACCTGTTACTGTGAATGGCGAGCGCTATTACTCGATGTTAACCGAATATTTCTTTCCGGAGTTTGATGATATTGATGCAGATGACCTTTATTTTCAACAAGACGGTGCACCACCTCACATTACTCGAGTGAACATAGAATTATTGCGTGAAAAGTTTGGTGAGTCGTTAATTTCGAGAAATGGACCGATCAGTTGGCCACCAAGATCGTGTGATTTAACACCTTTAGACTTTTCTTTAGGGTTACGTTAAATCTTAAGTGATCTAGAATCTAGCTATAATTCGTGACCTAAAAACCAACATTCGATGAGCCATAGCCGACATGGTACACCGCGTCATCGAAAATTGGCGTGAGCGGGTGACCGTCTGCAAAAAGAGCCGCGGCGGTCATTTGGCCGATATATTATTTAAAACATAAATTGCAATAAATTATCTATCAAATAAATCAATCGGATGCATTTTTCATAAAAAAATGTGTGTTTTATTCAATTTTTACACCAGGACGTTCTTATTCGTAGACCCCATATCGGCAGATCCAAACCTCGATGCAGTTGTAGCATAGCTATATTTAATGTAGGGTTAAATAATTAGAAACTTTTATTTGTAAGTAGTTATCTAAATTAGTAGAAATAATATTTACAGGCAGACAGACAAAACTATTTCTATTATGAATATGTATTTAATATTGTCAAATATGAGGAATGCAAAACCGGTTTGTTACCGATAGCATCCCTCATATCGTGTGTGTTATCTCGTGTTTACGTTGCCTAAATACTGTACCTAGTGCCATTATATATTCTTCAGTTCGTTTCTCCTTCTAATCTACTCTTGTATCTTTTTGTAACTCTCGTGCGTGGCTTTAATACGTGTCTAACATACTCGTAATATATATATACTTTATCACAAATAGACTATTTATTGCATTAAACCACCTCACAGTAAATGTGGATATGATCACCCTAGTAACAGCTGTGAAGTACAAGAGAGCGACGCCTTTTGTGTCTTATGCTCTGGAGCTCACTTTGCTAGTAGCAGGGCTTGTCCGGAGTATGGCAGGCA